TTTTGCCGCTCTCGTTAATGAGTACTTGCAGAGACATTGTATTGTGAGAGAAAATGTCTGGAAGCTATTTTGAATTGATGATCAAATATAGATGGGGAACAGTGGTGTATTTGGGGCTATGTGGAGTAATAGAATATAACAGACTTATAGTTGCATACAGTGAAAAACACAAACACAGGTAATCATGTATGGGACCGAAGATAAAAACTTGTAGCCATAACAAGTATTATTTCAAGTAATCACAGTAAACATTGGTGCCTGCATAGGGAGATTCACCCGTGAGGAAGCTTTCATTAGATTTTGCCATCAGAAATTCAGTTTCCACCTGAATTTCAGTTCTTTTTGAGAAGTTAATGATATCAAATTGGATAGATAAATTGCCACTTGCAGTTGCCAAAGAATTAAAATTTAGAATTGCTTTCCCGTGCCGTTTATTTTCTGATAAGTTTGACACACCATAAATGATACAGTCGCTTTGCCTTGGGCTCTTTGGATGAAACTAATGACAAGACAGTCATAACTCTGTCCGCAATTGACAGAAGCTGACAAAATATTTCCCCAGAGCTGACAAATAATAACTTCCTGAGATTGCTGAAAAATGTAATCTTTGTAACAATTTATTAGATTCATCCTAAATTACGCCGGCAGATATGAGGCTTCATACATTTGGAAATGTACTAGCTAATAACACAATAATTAAAAATCATGCAAACTTCCAAAGGAAATGATAGACAAGTTGCTCATAAAGTTCTATCATTTGAACTTTTAACATATATTATTCATCTTAGTCAGATTTTAAATTCTTTTTTTTTATAATGCAGTTTCTGACAACTGTATGAAGTGAGATGTGTGGTGTGCCTCTCTCTCACTACTTTCCCTTCATCCGTAACCTATTTTTAATGGCTGCCATTGACAGAGATGATTGCTACCAGCCAAAATTAGCTCAAGACAGACAGTGACAAACGGTCGTCGCCGTAGTGCTCTGATAGACAGGATTGTTTGAACTGCAGAGTACTTACGTCTCCATTTACATGTGGGACTACAACAAAACAAATAGGCTAGCGGATTGATCTGCTTTGGGGGTTCCCATTCATTTCCTATTGCAATATGTGGTTAATCCAAAAACATGCTTCTGCCTCTGATGAAAATGAAGAGTCTTTTAAGCCAATGACTAACATGGATGAAATGGCATAGAGTACCGAAGCTGTGATGTCATAAAAATCTATTTTTAGAATTTCTCAAATTTTTCTTCATTTCCGAAAGAGCATAAAAAATAATGTCCAAATGTCGAAAAACCAATTGAATATGTTAAGTATTGGCTGAGATATGACCATCTGAATGAATATGGGAACTCAGTGTTATATTATCTGGCTCATAATGGTTAGGAGCCAGAGCAAATAACACTGAGTTTCAATAGGACATAAATTCATTCACATGGTCATATCTCAGCCAATACTTAACATATTCGATTGGTTTTTCAACATTTGGACATTATATTTTATGCTCTTTCGGAAAATGAAGACAAATTTGAGAAATTCTAAAAATAGATTTTGATGACGTCACTCTTTACCACTCTATAGTCTCCTTTCAGATGGGAGAGAAATTTTAGTATGGTATGGTATGGTATTTATTCATCAACATATCGCAGCCAATGGCTGAATTGCATGCATGATTTACAGAGATTTTATTAAAAAATATTTTAAAAAAACATCATATTTACAGTTCGTTATTTAACAATAATTAAAAGACAAAAACCTCAATTAAACTCATAAAGGGAAGACAGAAATAAAGCAAATATGGAGCGGGGAGATAAGGAAAGAAGAAAAGGAATGTTGAGGGAGAGGGAGTGGAGAGAGAAGGGGAGAATAGAAGGGAGTGTGAGGGAGAGAGAGAGGGAGCGAGAGAGATAGAGAGAGAGTGAGAGAAGAACAAAGAGAGAGAGAGAGAGAGGAACACAAACACAGAGCTGGTATAATATAAAAAAAATTGAAAATGTAATTGAAAATGTAATTGAAAATAGTTATTTCATCCACATAAGTGGGAAGGAATTGATTTGTAAAAAGTTATTTTGAGGCAAGAGTAAATACATTTCCACAAACACAGAGCTGGTATAATATAAAACAAATTAAAAATGTAATTGAAAAGTTATTTTATCCAAGTTAATGGGAATGCACTTCAGAATGATTGATTTAAAGAAAAGAATTTTGAGGCAATATATAATATGTATATTTTTTTTTAGAATTTCTCAAATTTTTCTTCATTTTCCGAAAGAGCATAAAAAATAATGTCCAAATGTCAAAAAACCAATTGAATATGTTAAGTATTGGCTGAGATATGACCATCTGAATGAATATGGGAACTCAGTGTTATATTATCTGGCTCATAATGGTTAGGAGCCAGAGCAAATAACACTGAGTTCCAATAGGACATAAATTCATTCACATGGTCATATCTCAGCCAATACTTAACATATTCGATTGGTTTTTCAACATTTGGACATTATATTTTATGCTCTTTCGGAAAATGAAGGCCTGAACTTCAAAATTTGTCTTCATTTTCCGAAAGAGCATAAAATATAATGTCCAAATGTTGAAAAACCAATCGAATATGTTAAGTATTGGCTGAGATATGACCATGTGAATGAATTTATGTCCTATTGGAACTCAGTGTTATTTGCTCTGGCTCCTAACCATTATGAGCCAGATAATATAACACTGAGTTCCCATATTCATTCAGATGGTCATATCTCAGCCAATACTTAACATATTCAATTGGTTTTTCGACATTTGGACATTATTTTTATGCTCTTTCGGAAAATGAAGAAAAATTTGAGAAATTCTAAAAATAAATATACATATTAATATTATATATTGCCTCAAAATTCTTTTCTTTAAATCAATCATTCTGAAGTGCATTCCCATTAACTTGGATAAAATAACTTTTCAATTACATTTTTAATTTGTTTTATATTATACCAGCTCTGTGTTTGTGGAAATGTATTTACTCTTGCCTCAAAATAACTTTTTACAAATCAATTCCTTCCCACTTATGTGGATGAAATAACTATTTTCAATTACATTTTCAATTACATTTTCAATTTTTTTATATTATACCAGCTCTGTGTTTGTGTTCCTCTCTCTCTCTCTCTCTCTTGTTCTTCTCTCACTCTCTCTCTATCTCTCTCGCTCCCTCTCTCTCTCCCTCACACTCCCTTCTCTTCTCCCCTTCTCTCTCCATTCCCTCTCCCTCAACATTCCTTTTCTTCTTTCCTTACACTCCCTTCTCTTCTCCCCTTCTCTCTCCACTCCCTCTCCCTCAAGTGTACGTTCCCCAAAAAACCAAATTTATGTAATTCGATCCAAACCTACGTGTAGCTCTGTATACATGTATGATTCCTTTTCATAAATGATAATGACTTGCCTGGGGTTAGTACTAAAAGGAATCTCATGAAGTTTGCATTTTTCGTTCAGTGTTAAAGATGCTTATTTTCATACTCTCTGTAATTTTCATTATTAACACTACCCTGCTTTAATGGGTTTGTTGTAGAATTTTCAATGGTAACACCCCAAAATCATCTGTTTTATTTTATATAATCCCAAAGTACCCAAACTATATTACTTGCATTTGCCAAGAGAATTTCTTTATTCCACTATGTACAGGTACATTTAAATTGTGCACTACAAAAAGAAAAACTTTATTACAACATTAATTTATGACTTTCATTATTATTTTTCTACTTATTGTTGTAGTTGTGTTTTAATTTTTAAAACTATTATTATTATGTAAACAAAAAAATTCAGAATAATTTTGGGACATTTCCTTCCAAAAGTAAAGTGGCCTTATAAGTTCTCAAGATGTGTGTAAATAGCATGTTCTACAGACTACAAATGGGAACCAATTCAAAGCAGGACACCTTCCATCAGAGGGAAGTTCACATAAGTCCGGAAATCTCTTGACTTCCTGACCGTACTGTGAGATATTCCCCCATATTTTTACATACATGTCTATGTGAAAACGAAAATATCAAACTTCTTCAAACGGAGAATTTTTTGTTCCTTTCATAATGGGAAAGTCAGGGAAAGTTAGCTCAACACTCTTTCATGTAGGTGTACTGCATACTTACAAAACTGTACATACTCAAACTAAAATTTAACTAGGGAACTGTATTGAGTAATTAAAGCAATACTGTAGCACAAATGTGAAAGGATGAGTTTATACTGAATAATTTAAGTCCTTTCAAATTAAATCAAATCAAATCATTATTAACTATTAATATCATTATCAATATCAAAGATATGTATCAGTAATCATCAGTATCATCAAATCAGTTTAATCTAATCAAATCCAAATCATACCAAATGGATTGTTTGAACAGAATGATTCATAATATCTCCCACTCAAAATGCATGGGCCTTGACAGTCTTTCTAAGCTGCATGCATGTACTGTGTATTAAACCACAAATTGCGTAGTTCTAAGCAAGTTCAGGGATACTTGATCCTAAATTTCATTGACTTGGGGGGGGGGGGGGGGAGGGCTTATTCCTTCCTCAAAGCCACAGATAAAATAGTACATGTACAATAGGCATATACCTGTACGCTTGGAACGCACACCAAAAGATCCACATCTACCTGTTGTAGATATGACTTGTAGGCCTACATGTACATGTGTCAAAGAGTCTTTTTGAGTTCACTTTAGTCCATTAGATTGACTGCTGGCCTTGTCAGCCGTTGAATGACTCTGGTGATCGGTTTAGGAGGACTGCGTGAAGTTTTCAGGGGCGAGTCTTTGAAAATACCCTTCTCAATAGGACGAGTGAACAAAAAAAAAAAAAATCCCATTGGTGTTTTTGCAAGCCATAGAAATGCACATGCTTACTCGTTTCTGCTAAAAAGCATGGACTGATTTGTGTTTATCTTTTTGCAAAGTGGTGTTATCTTTGGATATTTTCATTTGGCACCAGTATGATTTACTGTGATCTTTGTTTTTATTGTAATTGCAGGAGAACGAGATTACATACTACATTTCCTTTGGCTTTTCCTGTTATGGTAAGTTTAATATATTTCCTTTTTCTCTGGCACATGTTTGCATGCTGTACCTTTTGATTACATACATTTTTACATAATACATGTACGTTTTTTTTAGAAGTATCTGTAAGAAATACAGAATGTTTTCTACAGGTCTTTTGTAATCTTAAGCTCTGCTATTTTTGGTCCTATGAGAAGGAGGGGGTCATATTTACATTGCAACCCAAAATCTTGATTTTTCTCACATTCCGTTGTTTTGCCGGCAAATACAACCCAAATAAAAAAAAATTGAAATATCCCCCTCTGGAGTGTGGTAATTTTAAAACGCTTGCCGGAGTTTCACCGATTTTGTTGCTGTATAAAAGAAGCCTTTGGTAAGATACCGGGTACTGATTTTTGTTCACGTGACTCTCCTTGCTTCCATGCTAACGCATGTGCACGACTCCCCCAAAAATCGGTATGAGCAAACTACAATGTTTTTTAGGTTTTTTTCTGTAAATTCCAGTAGTGTAAAATGGGAGACAAAAAAAAAATCAAAATGCTGTCTGGGATGAGTAAATGAGCATCTTGGTATCAGATCACTCTGATTTTCACCAAGGTCATACATTCCCTTACAACATTAATGCTCAAGGGTAAACAAAAAACCTACCTTGGAAAGTGCTGTTTGAAATTTGATTATGAAGCAGATTGGTTTTAGGGTTGAATAACTTGAACTTATTATCTTGTAGTCCAGACGTACATACAGTATACACATAGACACCAATCAACGTATTTACATTTTTTTGGCTGGCTATACCATGTTTAGGATTTTTATTTGAGTCATTGAGTGAATCATATTGATAAAGTAATTTGGAATTTAATATTTTTTGGGCAACCGAGTAGAACAGCTGAAAACAGAAAGTTATGGTGAACTGATTGTGTCTCACATTGCAAGACATACAACGCAGATACATAGATAGATTTGTGTAGATGTTGTTTTGTATATCGCCTTGAATATTAAAGTAAGTGCGCTTTATAAGTATTTTATTATTATTATTATAGCTAGATAGATAGATACATGTATATAAATTGAGAGATAAATAGTTACAGTAGATGGATAAATAATTAGGAGGCTATAATGTAGATCACTATGAAGGTACTTTTTGGAGTAGTTTTGTTGGAAATGTCACTGGGCTGGTAATGGCATAGGATCAAAAGGCAGTAAGGCTATTATGATAACCTGGTTGTAAAGTAGACCATTTCCCTTCTTATTTTATAGGAACTAAAATGTATGTGGAATTGTGGATGTCCTCCAGACCCAGTTAAAGGGAGTGTTGAATTCTGTGCTAATAAAAGAGAAACTAATTCTTTGTTGATAATGATATGAACAGAGAGAGTTCAGAATTAATTTACAAGTACAATTTGATGTATTAAAAGAAAAAAATGTATGTGTTAGTGAAGAACCCTGCCATACCAATAGAAAACAGTAATTATTATTTTTAATCTTTTTCTTTTGGATGGGGGAGGGGGGGGGGGACTGGAGCAAAATACATATTCATTCATTTCTTCATGGAATACTTAGTATATCACTCTATCTTATCTCAGAAAAATTATCCATGTCATCATTTTTATATGAATATGAAATAAATGCTGGCATCTTTTGAGAGGAAAAGGGACATTAAGTTTGAGTATCTCTTACATTACATGTAATTCCCTCTTGGCTCTCAGCAGATGACACGTTTATAATTCCATAGACCCATCATATATTGGATATGAAACAGTGTAGTGCTCAGTGTTTTTTTTTTTTTTTTTTTTTTTTTTTTTTTTTTTTGTTCATACAACGCAATTCCGCAGTAATATACTGCACTGCACTTATACACTCAATTCATGTTATCCAGTTGAAAATTTTTGTGAAATCTGTAGGACCTGCATTTTCGGGGTATTCTCTCTGATCAAAACCAGTCTTCAAATTGAGTGCTCTGACTCCGACTTCATCATTTCATAAAGTTGTAGTTGGAGACTGCTGTCTCTCTCTGGTAATCTGAAAGGATATCCTGCCTGATTGAATGAATCTGATCATAACATTCACATGTTTACGACTTGTGACATTCAGATGTAAACAGATTGCTTCATACGACAGGAATGTTTTTCAGTTTGTGTATGATTCAATGAGGATTAAAGAGAAACAGAGAGAGAGAGAGAGAGAGTGAAAGGGGGATGGGAGGGAGGGGGAGGAAGCGAGGGGAGGGCCGAGGAGGAGGAGGGTGGGAGAGAGAGAAAGGGGGATGGGAGGGAGGGAGGGGTTGCTACGCTTGGACAGAGTAAGAAGGGGAAAGGAAGGATTTACATTGTACGAAGGGTTCTTGGATGTACATGTATAAGCAAAAAACAGAAGGGGGAAAAATGATGTTTCTCCCTTTTGGGGGGAATAAACTGAAGCTTATAGTGGTTATTATACTTTCAGCTGAAAAAAAGGAACATTTTACATGAGTATTATGGTCTGGTTTTAAGATTTATTTTCTTCTTCTCTTCTTGATTCAACCATACTTTTCATGCAAATAAATCAGAAATAAGGGAGCCAAACATTTACACATACTTCATGCATGCGATTATAAGGTATTTGTAGGCCTCCTTGTATTAAAATGGAATCATGGACTCCCTGCAAATTAATTATCCCATTTACCCAAGGCTCAAGCAGCTGTAATTGGTTTATTGACCGTTGGGAAATTACATTACATGTGACTACATGAAGGCCTAAAGTTTATAGAAGGTATTGATGATGAAGAAAATTGTAATACTTAGAAAAAATAAAGTGATAGAGAGATGGAGAGGGAGAAGAAAGAGAGGGGGAGAGAGAAAGTGAGGGAAAATGAGAGAGAGAGAGAGAGATATTAAAATTGGAAAAATTAAGGCAAAATGTAATATCAAAACAAACAGGAATAAGGGTTGCAAAAGGACAGAATCATAGACCATGAAGAAAAGGAAAGAAAAACAGGCAAGATATGGCAGTATGATTAATTTGAAAGTTATCGCTATCTGTATTGCGTCAGCTGGTATTAGTCCCATCAATAGACGTGAGTGTAGGGTAATTGATATCACTTGCAGGCCCTTCACTCTCCAGCCAGACAAATCAATAGCACGGCAGCGATTAATGTCCTCAAAAACCAATGGTTTTAAGGTACATGTACATGTAAATGTAGGTTAAAAGGATTTAAACAAACTTTGAGAGTGATTGGTAAACTTCTGGGTTGGTGGCTTGAGTAACTATACACCTGTATTCAACTCCTCTTCTATTTCTAATCAATCCAAATTTTGATTACCGGTACCCAATAGCTATTGTTTTTGTGGAGGGTGGGAAAATGGCAAAGATTCAAGGAAGTAAAATCATATGCAAGGTATCAACATTCTTGATTAAATCTGTATTTTTATTTTTTAGCATTTACAAGATACAAGTTAGAATTTAAGATTTCATCAAGGAGAATGTTAAAAAAGGGTTATAATAAAGACTACACTAATACAATTATTGGATCAAGATCAACTTTACATGTAGCTAGAACGGGTTTGTTTTAATTTTATTTACTCAAGGATACAGGGTAACAACCACCCTCCCCTCCATACTTTATCACATGCAAGGTAATTTGATACATGATTTCCATACTAAATGCTGGTATCATTTATGTATTTATTGTTTCTTCATGGAAATCTTAACTCCTATCAAGGTCTTTGTTTTTCTACAAGTACAACAAAACCATTATCAAATTCAGATTATCCAATCCACAAGTGCTGGTACAGTACGTAATTAATACTTTTATGCTTTCTTTTTGTTTATTTTTTTTTGTAACGGAAATCACATGTACTGTAATTTCTCATATTCCGCAAGCATACATGTATTGTCTAATTCATTGGACAGTTGGACTACAAATGTATTTCCCCTGCATTTAAGGCCTTGATTGTTAAAGAGACTGCAGTTGCTCATATGTTTTGTTCCTTCCCTCGAAGGCCAATGCCATTAAAGGTAGGAAAATGATTGCTCTCCATTTCTTGCAAAATGACAAATCGACTTGGAATTTTTGTAATGACAGTTTTGAAAGCCACTTTACTGTAGAGAAGGCTTCTGTATTTAATGGTTGTTGTTTTGTACATGTATGATCCTTTGGGACCAGTTAAATGTATTTTCATTGTTGGGTGGAAAGGGGTTGAGAGTACAGTAGAGACCTAGATGATATACTTGTACGTGTATACATGTAGCATTTCCTTGTGTTTCCCCCCCCCCCCCCCCCCCCTTAGAGTTCAAAGTCGAGGGGTACACTGGAAAACAGGAAACAGGTGTTATTGTTCTCTTGATATTTCACAGTTTGGTTAATTATTAGTAACAGTTCTTTAGAGCAAGAAAGTAGTAACTAACTCCAAAGTTTATTTTCATTTAACATTAAAAGGCAGAGAAACAGAGGGATAAGACTAAGAGGTGAAACAGTACGTGATAATTTGATAAACATGTCTAATTCTAGATGCTGCTTGTGTGATGCTGTATGTCTAATTTTGTGGTCCCATCACTCCTGGATTAAACAATTTAGTCGTTTTTGACGATGTTTAATGGTTTGCATGGATACGTGTTAAAGTAACTCTTGTTGAAGGTAACAAATCCAAGAACAGCCATTTAACAACCTATCATTCTTTTGTCCTTTCTGCCTCTCATTTTCTCCGCCAACTGTTCGCTAATCAGAAAATCGTTGAGCTCTCTACATTTTTCACGCCAGCCCGACACCTTGGAGGCGGAAGCAAGATTGACGATATCCCGGTGGCGTAACGCTGGCGTGAAAGTACAAAGACATGCCTGGGGACTCGTTAGGTTTCGTCAGAGAGGCTCGCTTGAGAGACCTGTTTGCTCGCACTTAATTTGTCTTTTTTTACAGACTGCACGGCTTGATTACACAGCCGCGGAGAGGGTGGTTTGATGCGTAGAATTGGTGTGCGAGCGGCTGTCTCATTTCTTGTTGCTAGATTGCCTAATGGGAGAAGCAGAGTACTTGAGAAAGAGGACG